TTAATTTTTATTTTTATTTATTTTGTTACCTGATTCACCGTTTCCGTGTAGTATTTTGCATACTTGCGTAGTAGACGAGTTTTTTATTTTGCCTTTTACTGAGAGCTGGGCAAAAAACAAAAAACCAAAGTCAAAATAACTTTGTTTTGGTTTTGAAATGAAACTGGTTTTCCTGGCCATCGAGCCAGGAATTTCTTGAATGAGTTGGTAGCTGAATGCGAGCTATTTTGATTATCTAATGGTTACACTTTAGGAACACAGCCTTTCTCAACACTCGGCCTACTCGTCTCAAGGAATGATATGAATGAAAGCGAAAGATAAACATGAATGCTTACCGCCCTCTGCTAAACTCTTTGAACCTTAGTGCAAGCCCCGCAGGAGCTTAGCTTGTGTGTGTGCATTGGTCCTTTATAATAGTTTAACTCCTTTGGCAGTCATTAAAGGTGTTTGCTTTGAGGGGAGCGTCTCTCTCAAGGATTTGCACAGTTGACTATGTCCCGGAAAAGAATAAAACAATTGTAGGAGTCAGGCAGTTGGATACTAGGAACCAGGAATTAATTAAGAGTTAGGTTCATAAGGGATTTCCAAGTGCTTAATTAAGTTCACATCTAAGAACCTTTTACTTTTTCCGCACTTTTCTCCATGGAGAACTTCTAAGTAAACTAACTTCCAGAGAAAGAATATGAGCCAAGGAGAACTAAGCTAACCATATATTCAATCTAAAAGCATCTGATAAGGTCACATCCGCTCATTTCTGGAAAAGATTAACGATTCGTAGAACTAGACAACTAAGCGCTATTCGTATATTCATTAATTACAAGGACTGACTAAGTAAAATAACGATACGGACCTATATTACTGTATTCTGTAATTCCAATCCCCAATCTCATGGTAAGTTGGGTACTGAGAATTGTGTCCATCTGTTAAATATTCCTGGAACGTATTTGTCTTATTTTTTTATTTGCCCACCACGAAACAAATTCTTTTAAACATTGTGACAATACTACTGCCTCGATTCTTCGTCTAAACGGATATCCTGGTCCATTATGCGGTTCGCTTCCACGCTGTAAAGCTGAAATTCGACATGAGGTTTCCGCACATTGAGGGTCACCACAATGATGTAGAGAAGCATCAGCAGCTGCTTGGCACGCAGGACATAGGAGGCGCCCATGTTATCGGGAAAAAGTGGCTTATCCCACTCGGTGCAGTCGTAGAGAAAATAGCCACCGTCCCGGCTGGAGGAATACCCGAATGCTATATATCGATGTTGGCATACAAGTATGCCCCATTGGGAGCGGGTGAAGAAGTAATTGAGCGCCTCGTAGAGACCCATAATATTGCTGGCAGGGGAGCTGTAGAGCTGTCCAAAGGCCACCAGCTGCAGCTGGACCATGAAGTGTATGTCCTGGAAGTCGCACTCCAGTGCCAAATCGTTCACGCCGATCGACTTTTTGTTGCCGCGGCTATTGAGCAGGCTCTTGCGATAATATTTGTCCCCGTTGATGACAATGGCGTCCAGAAACTTGGAAGTCCACTCGCCCAGGCTGCGAAATACGCTGGCCGCACAGCACGCAACCACACAGCAGGCCAGCGTCTGGTGGCCCCTCGCCTGGCCGTTAAACCAGGTGGAGCGCGGATGCAGTCCACCCCAGAGCGACCAGAGGCGCTCATGGACCTCGACATCGAACTGGAACCACTTGCTGTTATTCTGGAGCCGTCCGGCAAGCTCCTCGCTCCTGCGAGGAAGTCGCCTGCTCCAGAGCGGCAGACTCTGCTGGGCCATCAGCCACGTCATGGACTCGCAACGGCCCGTCGAGGCTTTTCCGAACTCCAACTCCCTTATGATAGCGGCGATACTCATGTGTGCCCAGCCTTTGTGGGGCAGCATGCTTTGGCAGCTGGGCGCGCAGTGGCTGGAACTTGGGTCGGTCTGCTCCACACCAGCGCGTGGAATTCGGATTGGAATACAAATCGCCAGTCAGGATTTCACGTACAAAATTTTTGCTGCAGGGCAACATATCGAAGCAACTGCCTGTCGCAAGTATCTGCTACGGTTAGCACGAGCCGATACTGGCTTCAGGACAAGAACAAAAAAAAAAAACGAAAGAAAAAACAGTAGACAAAAAATTTTGAAGTTATTTTACAACGGGCAAACAAAAATCGACTAACAAATTAGGCATATAACGTATCGTAGTTTGGTTACGCAGCCAACTTTGTTCTAAACGAACTATTTTCATTTTAACTTTTCGTATAACGTATTCAGGACTACATAAGTTTAACTTCGAATGCCGTTATATTTAGGGGCGCTCAAAACTAATATCGATTGTTAATATCGGTTAACAATATCGATACCACAATGTATCGGAATATTCGATATCGATATACCGAATTTTCGTATATGAAAATTAAAATATCGATAACTGTGCATCGATAATGGTTTCTGTTTAACATCGATAAGCTGATGTATCGATGCTTTATTAACTATCAGAAATATGTTCTTCAATAACTTTGGTATTAATAGGCCGATCTTTACGAAATTTTCAAGGATTATCGATCGCATGCAAAAGTGTGTGTATACAAAGGGCAAATAAAGTGCATTGAAAAGTACTTTGTTAAATTTAAGGCGAAGGAATGAGCTATTCGGCTACTAAGCGAGAGATCTCGTTCCGAATTATCGACTTCCAGCTCAATTTTACGCAAATGGATCGGGATATAAGTAGAGTTTCATATGGAAGTTCGATTTGCAACTTTCTTAAAGCCCATTCACCTGGCTTCTCTAGCTGGAAAGCGAGGAACTAAGCAACAAGTAGGCCTTGTCGGAAAACATCAGACACCTATTTAGGAGATGATTCCCAGGTCAGTTCCACCACAAGCCAACGACCACTTAATATTGTACATTTGGATATTTATTTCTTGACGTTTGCCGGCTAATAGTTTAAGACATACACAGAATTTGAGTTGCCCACATCTTATGACTTTACCACCGAAACGAATTACGTATGCAAAGTGCCATAACAAGGTCCATAATCAGGGTAATTGCATTCGGAATGGCGCTCATAAGTGTAATTGGTAAGTTGAGAAAGCAGAAAAAAAAAAAAATAAGAAGCTACCGAGAGAGTCTGTTCCGCTGCTTGAAGGGAACCCATAATTTTACAAACAAGCCCTATTTATTTTCCGTGTGACCCTGAAGTAATCGAGTTTTGGATGTGTGAATTTCCGTTTCGATCCGCGTGAGTCTCTGTCCGATTCTTTCGCGCATCGACTGCAGCGCCATCATATCCTCATAGGACTTCTCCCTATTGGCGAGCGTATCATTATACTTTATATTGAAGTTGTCCACTTTTGTGTCCAACTTGGTGATTTTCTTTTCGATGCCCTCAATGCTATGGGTAAGTTTCTCGGAGCGCAGGATGAGTTCATTTAGTGGTTCCATCATTTTCTCAATGTCGGCCTCGACTTGCGTAAGACCCTGACTGACATCCAAGTCCTTGTGCTCCGCCTGCTTATCCAGATTGGCCTGTACGCCGTTATCGTCTTGGGTAAACATTGGGTAGTCGAGGCTCATGTAATATTGATGGACCTTTTCGATACAAGAGTTGAACTTCTCCCATTCCTTCATGCCTGGATGGCTGTCGATGCGCAGAGTGAACTCTTTAATGAACTTATTCATGGCAGCTATTTCATCGGGTATCTCTTTTTGGGGCTTCAATTTCTTGAGTATGTACTCCTCCAATTCATTTTCCAGACAGATTTCCTCAGCAAGGGACGTCTTGACATCGCTGCGCAACAATCTTATGAATTCCTCATCTGAACTTATTTCTATGGTCTTCACCTCCTTCGCTTCTTCTTCGGCAAAATACTCGACATTCTGCTCGGCATCCGAACTAGACTCTTGCATTATGCCCTTCTGCAAATATTAGATTATTTTCAGCGTTAACTAGAACTACCGAAACCCGCACAGACCTCTATTAGTATACCCTTCACCTGGGCATAGCTGGAATCCAAGCTCAGTATCTCAACCAATTCGTCACGCGCCTGTTCAACCGTTTCCTTCCCGCAGTCACCAATTAGCTCCGCACTGCGATCTTCCGAATGGGAATATTCTGCGATTCCTTGCTGCAAGTTACGTTCAGAACAGCTTATACGTATACGTACTTTCGAAGTTACGAGCTTATACCTCTATTAGTATGCCCCTATGTTGCACTTCCGTGGCCCCGGAGCTCTGCTCAATACACAGTTCGTCTCTGCTCTGTCTGACGAACTCTTCGCCCTTGCCCAAGGGCAGCTGCATAGGTGGGTTCATATTGTTGGTGGTGCTCCTTAAACGGCCAAGTTCGCTGTTCTTGCTCGCAATTGCATTGTCCGGGCTTTCGGATTGTTGCTCAATGCTATTATTTAGAAAGGTGGGCATTTCTTTTTCCATGATATCAAAATTTGGAGAATTAATTTTAAGGTTTTTTTTTCCAGAGAATCCAATTCAAACTGCGCCTGCTGCACGAGTTTAAATGAATAGTACAAACTTTGATTGACGTAAAACGCGAAGAATTCTGTTAGCAATATCAGAGCAATTGTGATGGAGAGTCTTGTATCCAAATATATCGAAATATCGATCAATCGCTCGTTGTCAAAGCTATTTAAAACGATTTTAAGTAGATACCCAACAACTTTAGATACCCAAGAAACCTCCAAACCATATCAAGGGGAGCCTGTTAGCTGTTCAAATCGGCGAGGAGCAACTTGAAATAAATCTAACCTATGCATACAATTCAAACGATTTGTTCCCACTTATGCCCATTATCTGCAAAAACTCTAGACAATCAGGCATCGGGGATCAGGCAGTAAAAATGCTTTCGAAATTAATACTCTTAAAGAAACACTATTTATGCAAAGCAACCATTTCGATAAATCGAAGCATCGATTTGTTTCTTTGTCTACCCGATAAAAATATCGATGCTCATCTCGAACTGACATCACTAACGTAATAGCAGCAGTGTTGCAAAAGACACAAATTTTTCAATATGGAATAAATTTGTATTGATATTTGGTATTAGAAACAAATCAAAGAGATTCCCAACAGCTACTGTAACTGGACATGCCTTAGCCAATAGAGAAAGAGGCTCCGAAGAATATCTTTGATAGAGAGCGATGAATGTCAGCGTTTATTGTTGATTTTTCTGCAGCATGATTTCTAATTTGAGGGTATATACACGTTGGCAGCTGTGCGTAAAGTCGTTTACAAGAGAACGAGTGCGAGCAAATGAAGTTCGCGTTGCTGCCACGCATTAGGGTAACCAATAATTTAAGACATCGTAAACACATCGTAAATTTTGCACAAGCAAATTTAGGCTTTAATTTTCTATAAAAGACAACGGACATGGAACTCGAGACTGAAGACGTTGTCGCTGTCGTCTCGGTTGGGGCATTCCTTTGCCAGTTGCTGGCTTCGCCGTGCAACTGCAGCACGTAATTACAGCCCATTAATTTTTGTGTGCTTCTCGCTGCTTGCCGCTTCTTTCGCTTGGCGCATGCATGATAAGTGCCACTTGCCCAGCCCACAGACTCCAGTAACTCCGTACCACCGTGCCACAGTGCCACCGTACCCACTTGAGAGACTCAGCCTTCCCCCTTTGACGCCTCCGTGGGCCCCGTTGCGTATTTGCTTTGATGAAAATGTTTCCCATTACTTGGTTGGGCATTGGCTGCCCCTCATGCGCCTGGCCGCCTTCTCCTGCTGCTCCTTCGTGAGTGCTCACCATGCAACGGTCTTTGTCGAGGTGTAACCTATATTTTTCTGTTATTTTTAATTAGAGGCTTCTCTGTGTGTCTGCTGCCTACCATCGTTGATTATTGTGCAGCATGTGGCAGCATGCCTGCGCCTCGGACAGTTGCCACTTGTGCAACGCGTGAAGCCAATTTGAGCAGCATTGGGATTCCAGCTTTGTAATTACATAACTCGCAGCTGGAATTGCGACTGAAGTTAGACTTGGACTTGGACTTGGACTTGGACTTGGTCTTTGCTAGCAGCCCCCTTCGCCCTTCTGACCACGACTTTAGAGTGACTGCATCCGCCAAGGCCTTCGGATGGGTTAATCAATTTATTTAAATGCTAAATGCTAATGAGCCTAATTATAGATTACCCACAGATTGTTATCCCAAAGCTGATGGCAGCGTAAATAGCCTCAAATGGCGTGTGGAACGTGCTAAGTCTGGTATTTCATGAATGAAGAGATTGGTATGCTCCATAGGAATCAAACAAATAGATCCATCAAATTGTCATTTCACGTTAAATTATGTAGAAGTATACATGTTGAATTGCCATAACATATTTTCTCATTTATATTTAAATATATGAATGTGCACTTACCACAAAATCGATAGTTGTCTTCTATCAGAAGAAAAGAAACAGCCTATTTTTCGGACAACACTGTAAAAAAATGAGAGAAGAAAGTGGACAAGAATGAGTATAAGAAAAAGATACGAGCGAGAGAGAGAGATATTCATAATCATAATTGTTGAATAGGCTTTGAGCCAATCTGGCGGATATATACATATACTAATGTGTAAGCGATCAATTGTGATTATTAAAAATGTAATAAAGCGGATGTTTTATATCACACAATTATGGTTTCTTTTAATAAATTACCCAAACATATTCCAAAATTAAGATTTGCGTTATAAAAATATTAAAAAAAGAAATGCAAATATAAAAAAAATAATGCTTTACCATTCGCAGTCGGTAGGATTCGAACCTGCGCTCCCAGAGGGAATCTGATTTCTAGTCAGACGCCTTAACCGCTCGGCCACGACTGCCGGTTGAGCATCAACAGAACATTTACCCATATAAGCACGCGAAGACAACGATAAACATAACAGGGCGAGTTATTAATATAGATGAGCGCTCAAGTGGGTTAATTGAGTAAATAAAAGAGAGATATGATAGAAATAGAAATGAAATTAATAAACAAATTAAAAATAGTTTGCAAGAATGGAAAACATTTGATTGAAAAAACTACGTATAAAATGTGCATAAAGAGCGAAGTGGACAGCGAAGAGGCTGTAAAATGTGCTGCAACGAATCGGCTGCAAATCAAGGCGTCAATTAAAAGGAGAAACGCTGGCTGCAGGCCGCAGCAACAAAAAGGTGGAGCCAAACGGCGATCCACTATCTCAGCCACGCTCCGACTCTGATCTTGCCGAGACGACGGCCAAAGCGACTGAATAGTGAAGATCGAAGACCCGCGGCTCTCGACTCCTCGACTACCTGGACTCTTCATTGGCACCTGTATTTTTTTTTTATTATTATTATTATCTGACGGCGGTGATTCACTTTGATGCCGTTCAGTCAACCAACCCGCCTCCTAAGCCGCCAAAGATATTGATAAAGTGTTAACAGTCGAAATTGATTGCCAGACAGTTGGCCAATGCGGCATTTGTCGCCAATTTGATGGAGCTGCATTTCAGCAGTTGTCTCCGACTGGTGAGAGACAGGACTCTTGATAAATCGTTGCCTGCACTCTGATCACCAGATAGCCAAGACAATTGTCCAGGCTGGACAGACAAATAGTACAAAAAAAAAAAAACCTTTGTAAGCTTTGCTGATATATATTATATCTCTCACACGAAACGATAGAAGGCAGCCTTGTGGTGGGAGTTGTTAGAGCTAATCCTCTACCAAATATCTCAAAGTTTTGCAATAGCTGAAAAAATGCCTGAGCTGAAATAAGTTTCATAGCTAACATATAGCTCAGCCTAATGTCCACTTAATCTTCAGCAGTTTTCCCTAATTGGTTTTTCTTTGATTTTTCTGCAGCATAGCTCAGATCGTTACCGTTAGTTGCATGAGGCGGCAACAATGCTGGTGGGTAGCTAACCCAAATACCAACGCATTGTTGAGGCTAATGAGCTAAACACTTAATCGCCACAGTACCAGGTAATTCCAGGTAATTCCAAAGTCGAAAGACTTCGCCTCGCATTCCTGCAATTCATTCTGCGCGCAAGTTTAATTTAGCAAGCGCTATAAATCAAATCCGCGTACCCATCCACAGCTAAATGAAGTAGTTACCAGTGTCGAGCCACTGCCCCCGGACCCATTCATCACCAGCGGGGAATTCAATTCACGCCTGCCAGGAATGCCTTTGACACACGCTGACCAGGTAGATCTGTAGCTGCTGCTGCTGCTGCTGTTGTTGTTGTCCAAGGCGATAATTAGCGCTCAATTGTCGAACGTCATCTCTAGGCTCTGGTCTGGTCTAGGCCCTGGTCGCACTCGTAGTTTCATTCCCGATCATCAGGCGGCCTTTTGTTGTGTCCGGGCGTACGTGACGAGCACCACAATTGCAGTCCATCAATGACGCAGCTGGAAAACTCTGCTGATGATCACCTGTGATCACCTGCCGCATGCCTTAGCAGGCTAAGACTCCAGCACAGCCCAACCCCGCCCAACCCAACCTCTCTCTTCCTTCGTACCTCCAGCTGCCATGTAGACAATTGCTGGCTGATTATGGGCGCGCCCAATTGTGATTATACGCATATTTAATGGGTTCTATATTCTCAACAAATCCGGCTGAAGCTTTCGCATTATTTGCTATCAAAAAGGAAGCCTCAAAAGTCGAGCTATGCTTTAAAGAGGATATCTGAACAGCTTAAAAATTATGTCTAGACAGAAGCGAATTTTGCCAGATAAAATTCAGATAAAGAAGTTCACTTTTATAGCCTTTTATCTCAAGTTTATCTGGAGTTTGAAGCATATATTTACAATATAGATTTTTGTTTCTGTAAGAAAATTATTAGATTGTTCTTTTACTTGCAAGCAACTTGTTAACTTAACATGAACGTTTAATTTATTGAACCGCATTGCAAGCTATTTGAGCATTGTTTTAAAATAAAATTTTTCTTCGCAGCTAGCTACGACTCACTGATGGAACCTTGGCTTAACTTGATCAAGCAGAATCCAATATGTTTAAATTCTTTTAACATGTCCATCAGACTGTAGACAGAATTCAATATATTTAAATTCTATTGTAAGTTGACAAGTGTGCTTAGCTGTGCTTTTAACGATGCTTATCAACATTTTTTTTTTTTTGGACAAAGCGCTTTGGTATAATCTTGAAACAGCCGCCAATCAGGCTTTTGGGGCTAACCGAACAACCCATCCGAGCAACTCTTTCAAATCAATGACAAATGTTGTCAAAGCGCATTTCGCAGTGTTGCATCAACAGGATGACAAGAGGCGATAAATCTGGTTGGGGTTTGTGGTTTGGGTATTGCTATAAGAGCTGAAACATAAATGGCCTGGTGTTAGGTGTCAGTTATAGGCACTGACAACTGTCAATGATAAGACCACACACACATCAGGTTTGGCAGTGAAAAATGAAAGAGGGGGCCACAGCACGCAGTTTTTCAATTAGCCAGACAGGCACGAGAGAGCGGGGGTTAAAGGCACTTGCGTGCCTGCAAACAATTTCTCGAGGGGGATTTCATAACAAGTTGCTGGAACTTGCAGAGTTACAACATGCGATAATTGTGAAATTGCCTGGAATTCTGTTTTACATAATTGTATCAATAGTTGGATTAACAAACATCACATCAACAACCTCAGCCTCAGCCTCAGCCCCAATCCCAACCACATTCTCATACTCAACACGAAGCAGCATGCGCTCCTTCAGTGGCCATATGAGCTGTCAGTTTGATTTACTTGCAACTGATGTGTCTATATAGTAGCTGCTGGCTCTGGTAATGGGGGGTCTAACCCGGTAGAACCCCTTCGAACCCTAATTAGCCACTTGGCAGGCCCATGGCATGACACGTGTCCCTCGTGTTAACTCAAGTGTTGCCAGCGACTGCGGCTTTTGGTTTGTCATTCGTTTGCTTCGCTGGCAGCTTTGTTATTTGAGACCAACAGCCCGACCAGACCAGACCAGACCAGACGAGACGAGGCTAACCCAACCCAACCCAACCCAACCCAACCAACCAACCATTGAGCTCGTGCCATGGTCTCACTCCTTGGATCTGGTTCCTGACATTTCTCGTTTCCGGTTTACTGCATTTCGTCATCGTCGTCATCTTCGTTCTGTTGCACTTTTCTTAATTAAAAGCCACATTGAGTTTTGTATTTGGTGTTGTTTGCCTGCTTGCACCACCTGCATTGCACCACTTGCATTGCACCACTTGCCCACTTTTGTCGCCCTATCAACAGCTCAGTCAGCACATAGAGTGGTTCTTAACTTCGAATAGGGCGCAGCTCGCTCAGCCACATTCACATTAAAGATCTGTTTGTGGTCGCTTGAGCCGCAAGCCATTCGTGCCTGTCAAAAGACAGAGCACAGGCTGAATGGGAAACAGAAGCGGCTCTTATCTCGTGGACTTACTCAATCACCTGCTCTCTCTGTTAGTATTACCTTAATTAATGAAAATCGAGCAGAAAGGTGCGATTCAAGAGAAGCAGCGATTAAAAGTAGGAAATGTATATATATGTGAGAGAGAGAAAGAGAGAGAGGGAGAGAGAGAGGGAGAGATAGAAAGGGAGAAATAGAGAGAGAGAGCGACAGAGATAGAGTGAGAAAGAGAGATACAGATAGAGAGATAGAGAGGTAGAGAGAGAGAGAGAGAGAGAGAGAGAGAGTAATGTTACGGAATTTATAAATATCATCAACTAGGGATAATTCATGGTCAGAACTGAATTGCCAAAATATGTATTTATTTTGATATATGAACATATACTATTTGTTAAATTGCCCAAATAATTGGCAACAAAAATCGGAAACACCAGACATAACGAACAAGCCGTACTTTAATTTGTGAGAATCGCAAAGAAAGGCAGCTATTGAAACAACTTGTTTATTGTCAATAATATGCTAATGACAAAGATGATAGCTCAGAGGCTCGAAAATGAGATAAAGTAGATCCAAGGAACAACAGCAAAAATTGAAGGCAAACTTCTGGTTAAAATTAAGAAAGATAAAAGGAATCTCCTAATAGAAGATTCTCACGAAGAAAATTTGAATGGTTTTTATACAGCTATCTGTATTACTTTGATGTTTTTTTTTTTTAACAAATTCCTGACCACAGTGATCCTCTCCAATCGTGAGAAAAACGGCCCACGACTTTCCACACAAAAATTTCACTCGAACTTTAAATGCCTTGTTGAGTTTTCACCGAATTGGATTGGCGGGTTCATGACACCACGTGGGCAAAAACAACAAGCGCGAACACACAACATTTGGCGACAAACAACAAGTTGTTGTTGCATTTAGCTGTTGTTGTTAGCTGTTGATTGCCAGCAAGCAACATGCAACAAATCAGGCAACAGGTTGCCGCAGCTCTTGTTCCGCCAGATATCAAATTTCAGCAGGCAAACTCTCGACAGGCAAACTCCGCATCGAATGCTACTTTCGGACAAATAAACTCCACCTGGACCAGGTGTGCGGCGGGCCGGCGGCATCGCTGGGAGTATTCGCACATTGGTTTGCTTGGCCAAACGGCAAACGAAATTTGTTTCAAGGTTAGTTAAATACAAACTCGTAATTTACATGACGCGCCACGAATTGGAGGTTTCTTCATTTTCCTCATTTTATTTTTGTTGAACACAAACTCAAAAGCGAAACTCATTTAAGCAAATAAAAGGCAAATGAAAAGCGTTCAGCACGCAAATACATTTTTCATATACAATACCCTTATTTGGGGTGAGGCGACTTTGTCAAGCAACTTGTATCGAGTTTTGACAAACTAGTTATTTGAAGAGATTCCTAAACAAGTTTGTTTGCTTTCAATAACCAAAAAGTTATTTTTATTTATTATTATTAAT